GGCCTCAGTCCCAGGCAAACCCAGCAAACACCCACTGTTGTATCTGAAATTTGGCATCACTTTTAACACCTTGCCCACTCCCATAACCTGTGCAGAGCACTGTCCCAGTCAGTGCAAGACCGTGGGTTGTGCCAGCTTCACTGTCACAGCTAAAACAGAGCTGAAGGAATTTAAAGGACATCCCCAACCTTCCCCATCTGTTATTGGATTAACAAGTGAGACTGCACCTTCCCACATGAGAGACATTTCACCGTGTAAGGAAAATGCCAGAGAGGAACAGAAACAGACTCCCTCAGGCTCCAACAGGAGGCTGGAGCAGCAGTGAGAAATGGGGAGTATTTCCTGTAGAGGGGCAGACAGTAGGGCTTGAGAGATGCCCCCTGTCAAGAGCAGGGACTTCTCTGTGACAGCAGCCTCCAGCCTAGCAGAGTATTTGCTCAAGGACTTCAGCACAGAAAGATTAATTTAAACAAACTATTCCATCCTTCAAACACTAGGAGGCAGGTAGAAAGATCTCATCCACCTCCCTCCTCCCCAGCCCACAAATGTGACCAAGGAGACACTGTAAAGTTTAAACATCAACACAGAGCCAATAAAAAAAGTTACAATTCTCTATAATCTGCCCAGAAGATGCAGAAGAACCACCAAGAACCAGGGCCAGGGCTCACCAAGGCACTATGTGGCAGCACACCAGTGAGTGCTGCTGGCTGGAGTCACTCAGCAGAGTGACAAAGCTCCCAGCTCAGGGATAACGAGCACTTGGAGGTGTCACACCAGGGCACAGGAACCACAGGGCCTGGGGGGAGCCATCCAGGCCAGCCCTTGTCCCAGGGCAGGACCAGGTGACATTTATCAGCCCTGGGAGGCCTCTGTGAAAAGCGGACACTCAGCCACCTCCCAGGCATCCCATCCAGTGCCCTGCTACTCCAGAAGCAGGCTCTGCACAGAGGCAGTACCTCAGGCCAGTAATCTTCCCTTAATGAAGTCTTCCCTATCCTGCAGCACTCGGATGCTATCCACAGACTCCGAGCATGGGAAATCAATAACACAGGTTTATTTAGCTCCATCCTTCAGGGGCCCTTGGAGAGCAGGCAAACATCCCACTGCAGCAAGGCAGCAGCAGAGTTCAAGCCATGCTGCTCACTGAGGGAGGTGGAACTCCCAAGTCTCCAGCAGGACATCTGTCTCAGCACCCAGGGTTTTAACAACACTCAGGTGCGTAAGGTGGCAAGTAAACAAGTTTTCTAGTGGACCCTCAGACCCAACAAGTCAAAATTAAAGTCATACTGAAGTAAATTAAAGCATCTTATAAAGAACAGGACCCTGCAGAGTAGTTTTTGGGCTGTGGTGGGAGGAAGGCTGCCCAAAGGTTGCAGAGCTCTCCTGCCTTGGCACATAGTTGCAGTGTGCACCACGTGCCTTGAGTGAGTGATCTCTTATGCTCTTTAGGAGGAAATCCCAGACAGGGGTAATTTGCCAGCTTTGTCTGGACACAGTCCCTGACTTCACAAGACCCCAGAGCCCCAATCCTGCACCACAGGAGCCCACTCAGAGCACAGCCTGCTAACACTCCAAGGACAAAGGAAACACCGTGACTGCAGCTCTGGCTCCTGGCTCTCACTTGCCTCAGTGAGGTTGTTAGCAAGTAACTCAGTTTAGGAACAGAAGGCACACACCTGCTGGCAGCTGCCTGCAAAGAAGCTCACGCCCCTTTACTTGTTCACAGTAACAAGAAAAGCTTTCATCTGATTTAGGCAAAAGCCAAGACTTCACAACATTTAAAGAACACAAGCCTGGTCTTACTCAGAGCCATGAGAGCAGAGGGCTGGTAGGGAGGAGAGAGCCTCCAAGAACACTGAATTTCTGCAATAATACCATGGCACTGTGTGTTCCAGGAAGGGCAGGTCTCCACTGCAGCATGAAGGAGCCATGAATAAATGCAGTGGGGAGGTGAAGCCCTTGGGCTGAAGGCAGAACATCTCCAGAATGACACACTGGGATCTCAACCACACCACGCCCACACAGTTGCTGGGAATGTTCCTACAACTCCCCTGCATGTCCTTAGCCAGTCCAGTCTGGCTCCCAGGACAGACTTAAAATGCAGGAAGACATCCTGGACTAGACAAGCATCGGAATCATCAAAACTGCCAAGAACTGCCTGCACATGTCAATCCTCTCCCCCAGAAATTCCAGAATGGGAATTAAGCCAGAGCATAGGCAAAGGACTTGTGAGAGGTAGCAACTCATCATCACCTCACTTGTTGAATGGAAGAGGAGAAGCAAGGGGAGAACAGGCTGGACCAAACCCATCATTGAGGAAAAACACACTGAAAAATTACTAAAAAATCCATTTTGTAGGAATTGCTATAAACTCACATCTATAATTCAACCTAAACCTACACAGTCCAAGGGAAGGTGTGTATAGAGTCTACACTACACCACAGGAAAGGCAATTGTGTAACTCAGGGAAGCTCTGCCAGCAGGGCACCATCAGTTAATGCAGCCCAGGTGTGACTGTGACTGCAGCTCGTGCTGATCAGGTGTGGGGCATTGGGCTTGACAAGGAGAATACAATCACCTGTAAGCAATGAGGGCAGGAGACACACAGGGCACAAAGAAAGGCCCCAGGACCTTCTAACAAACATTCCCCAGATGTACAGCAACATCTCATCAATGCTAAGTACTTCAGGAGGCTACAGCAAGTCTATCTATAGCTCAAAAGGGAAGGGAACCTGAAAAACCATCTAGTCCAACTCCCCAGCCAAGGGCAATGAGCCCCCTCTGCCCTGAACAGGCAGGTATAGTCCCCAAAATTCTTTTGCCCCTGTCAGAACAATCAGCCAGGCACCCCACACTGAGCCCCTTCCAGGTGTTCCTTTTGCTGCCGGACACTGGGGCTCCCAGCCCTGCCCAGTGCACACAGATGCACAGCAGTGTTCCCCCTCCACACACAGACAGCAGCCCTGGAGCTTCTGGACAACACAATCCACCTTTTCCAAGAATTACAGCTATTTTGAAGCTACTCCATTTATTCCCTAACATATCTTCTGCCTCACAAGTCTTTCTCAGAGCTGCAAGCTCTGTACTTCCTTCAAAAACTTCTCCCTCTCTCCCAACTGTCCACAATTTTCCTGCAACTGTTAACTGCTGTTAACTCAAAACTCACTCTCTTTCTCTGAAGGCTCTCTGGGTAACAGGCAGTTCTCCAGCTACTGTTGCCTCCTCCAGAACTGCAACTCCTGGTTTACATGAAGTTCCTGCTGCAACTACCACACCTGAGATTGAAAGGAGGGAGAAAATTATTTTAAAACAAGAAGTCACATCATTCACATAAAGAAAGCAGAGCTAATTTATACCCTAAATCGGTGTTTTACTTGTCTTTTGAACATGAGAATATAATGTCTTTGTAGGGAACTAACACCTGCGGAGTGAGGTGCACCTATGCTTTAAGAGAAGGTTTAGTTTGTATCAATAACAGGTTTGGGACGAGGCCAGTTTGGAGGAAGCCTTTCCCTCTAAAACTTGCTCCTTAGCTCGGGCACCGTTCCAGCCTCACAGAGGGTGCAGGCAGCACGTACCTGCAGCAGGGAGGCACCAAGAAGGAGCTCCAAGAGGCCAGGGTAGAGAGTGGCCTCCTGACCTCCTCCAGCTCCGGGCGCGTGCCAGTAGCCTTCACCACGGCCCGGCGAGGAACTGAACCATCACCTGCCTCTCTCCGCAACGATGGACTCCCGGACGGCCGAGCAGCTTTGGGGGGCTCTGGCGGACGGGAGGGGGCAGCTCTTCGCCGGGAGTCCTTTTAAAGAAGCTCCGCCTCTTCCCCGCCCTCCTCTCCCGCCCTCTCTGCTGTGTCCCCTCCCCCGGTCCCCTCCCCTGGGGGCGGTGTTGCCCCCTTGGCACCGCCCCTCGCCCCCGGCGGGGCAGCGCGGGCAGCGGCACCGGCGGCGGCGCGGGCGGTACCGGCATGTCCTGAGCGGCGGCGGCGGCCGATCCGGGCCGGAGCCAGCACGGAGGGCTCGGTGGAGCAGCGGGCCAAGGGCCGGGCCCCGATGAAGGAGAAGGAGGCGGGCGCGGAGCGGGGCAAGCCCGCCACTTACACCGGGGACAAGAAGGCGCGCATGGCGGCCAAGACCAACAAGAAGTGGGTGCGCCTGGCCACCGTGCTGGCCTACGTGCTGTCCGTCTCGCTGGCCGCCATCGTGCTCGCCGTCTACTACAGCCTCATCTGGCAGCCGGTGCGCGGCACCGGCGGCTCCTCCGGCCCCGCCGCCGCCACCCCCGCGCAGCTCCGCGCCGGACCCACGGCGGGGCCTCCGCCCGCGCCGCCGCGCCCCGGCCCCGGGCCCGGCCCCCGCCCCGCCACCGCCACCGCCCCGCCCGCCGCCACCGCGCCCGGCCCCGCAGCCCCTGAGGGAGGCAGCCCCTGATGGGGGCCGAGGCCGCTCCGCCGGCGATGGAGAGCGAGGGCCCGGCCCAGCATGGAGAGCGAGGGCTCCGCCGCCCCCGCGGCACCGCGGAGCGCCGGGACACGGACCGGACACTGAGCGGACACTGACCTGGCACTGGCTCGGCCCCGCCGGAATCGGTGGAACTGCGGTATCTTCTTTTCCCCCTCCGTTTGTCCTCGAAAGGGAATTTTGTGGCTTCGTTTCCTTCCTCACCAGGGCTAGCTTCTCCCGTTGAACCCGCATCGAATTCCTGCGCTGTTTATGCCAGTCTGTTACCTATACAAGGATATCGGTGTCCAAAATTCCTCACTATTTACAGGATCAGCTGGGAACAATACGAATTTAGAGGCTGTAATCCGTTGTTTAAGTAAAACCAGTTTTGTTTAACGATGAGCATAAACTTATTTAAAATATGTGGAAGGTAAATTGACTTGTTTACTATATTAAAATATTTTCCCAATATGAAAGTCTCTGTAACACAGTATGTTCTCTTCGGTGGTGGGAGGAGGAATGCTGAACTGGAAGGGCTCTGAGTAGCAGAAATGTGGCTACTGCAATGGGAACTGTGGTATATGATGTTGATTCATTTGTCGTTGATCTCTGTAGGCGAGGCTGGAGAAACCTGCCTAAATCCTGCTGATCGTGGAAAGGAAGCGGTGGTGCTGGAAAGGTTGGATCTGTGCTGGCAGAGCAGGTGGAGCTGTGGTGGTGGGCTCCGAGCTGTGGCCCTCCTGCCTGCCAGGGGTGGCAGTGCTTATGGATCATCCCTGTGCCCTGGGGGCACCCGGAGCCAGGGCAGGTCTGGGCCGGGCAGTTCCTGATGTGCCCTGGGCAGCCTCTCCTCCCAGTGTTTGCCTGCCCTGTAGTCTTCAGAAATGTTCTATTCCTTGAGCAAAAACATGGCCTTTAATGACTCTTTAATGATGTGGGATATCAACTAGGAAACCATAAGAGCTGTGTTGTTCCAGGCTGCTGCTTTCCAGGTGGATGGATTTGGCTGAATCAGTGAGGCTGCCAGGCTGTGCTGCATCCCTGTGAAACAATCCTAGCAGTTCAGATCCCCTCTGCTGAGGGATAAGATGTGCTGTAACGCAGCATACGCATTTCAGTTGTGCAGATCACGAAGGTACCATAAAACATGGCACTTGGTGTTTGAAAAGAGCTGTTTCATACTGAAATCAGGGTGTTTGGGGGAGGCTGTGGTGCTGTGTTACGGCTGTGCCAGTTGGGCATTATCTTTACAGTGTCTGTGGAAGGTAGAAGCAGGAGCTTGCAGGGAGAGAGTGCTTTGGGATCTTCTTTTGAGCCTCCTTGGCAGTTCTCTGCGGAGCGTGCAGGGAAGGCTGTGTGATGTTAGAACAGAAAGCTGGTGGGGAGGACAAAACGATCCCGCTTAGTCACCTCAGCCAAAATGGGATCAGTGCCACCCTCCTGCGGGGCAGGTGGACGGGCTGGAGGCCGAACATCTGTGGCAGCAGAAGGCTGAGCTGTCCCAGGGCAGCAGCAGCTCCTGGATACCCCACGGTGTCTGTTGTGTGAGTGGCTTTGGTTCCCTGCTGACTCTGCCGGTAGTGTGTTCATCCCTGTCCATGGGACTGCACACACCTGCAGTAGCTCTGGGTCCTGGTGACAGTGGTGTCATTTGCTGTCCTTGGGATACACCTCTGGTTGCAGGGGAAGGCTTCTGCAGCTCCCCGAGGGAGGAATGAGTGACAGAGAAACAAGCCAGGCTCATTGTCGTGCCAGTTCAGTTTAGGCTGTTCCTTGGCTCGGGTGCTAAACACATTACCAGTTGGGAAGTGTCTCTGAGAAGGAGCTTACGTTTATCTCATAAAATCTTCAGAGATAAATAAAGCTGGGTGGGATGACACAGATCCTGGTATTTCTCTGCTCCTGGCCTGCAGCTTGGTCGCTCTGTAGTGGCTCTGAGTGGTACATCCAACATGTGCTGGTTTCCAGGGCCCCCTGGCATCCTTCACTTTAACTCCAATTGCTCTCAGAAGACTCATCGAGCCTGTCTGTGTGGCGCGGGAGGGAGAGGAAGTGAGTGGAATGAAATGGGCTGCGTGGCCCTCTTCCAACCTGCCGTGGAACTGCCGAGAGACACCTCGTACTTGGGAGCAGGAACAACCTACAACTCTTTACCTGGTTTGTGGGTTTTGGGGCAGGGGATCTCTGAGACAGTGCTCAGATCCGTGGATCAAAGGGAACAGGCCCTTTCCTGATGGCTGCCTCCCTTGCTGCTGCTAAAAATAGTTGATGAGCCAGTACGAGGATGGTTGTGGCTGTCTACATTCCTGGAGGAAAGTGCAGGCTTGATGAGTTCCCAGACTGTGTTTTTGCATCTTCTCCTCTGCTGACAAACAGATCTTAGTGAAATGCTGCTATTTCTGTACCTGTTACAACTGGCTTTGGAGCATCCCATGGCCTTACTACGGTTGTACTGAGCCAGGGAGGGGAGGCGGCCTGGGGGAGATGCAGGAGGATCCTGGGATGCCAGCCTACAGGGCCAGGCAGCTCAGGTGATTCTTCAGGCCCAGATTCTTCAGCTACAATCTGTTCCCCATCCTTTCCCTAGCCAGGCATGGAGACAGCCATGTTCCCGTCAGGATGCTGCTGCCAGCCTGTGATGAGCCCGTTGCTGCGCTTGTGACTCTCCGTGTGACACTGTTGAAGAAATCGAAGAAATCAGTGACTAAGTACACTTTGCAAATACTTCTAGTAACAAAAAGGCTCGTCTAGACTGGTTTCTAGGTGTAAGCTAATTTAAAGTTCAGAGTATTAGGGATTTCTTGGAAGTAGGTTGGCTGCAACAGAGAACGGCTTGGACTGGGAATATTTGCATTGTGTTGTACTGAGTGTCATCTGCATCCCAACAGAATTGTTTTAGTGCCCTAAAATGGTGCAGTCACCAGTCTGGGGTAAAGCTCAGGTTTAAAAGGCAGAGGGTTGTGTTGTCTGCTGTGTTACTTCAGCTCCAGTTCAGCCTTTCCCTTCACTGCACCTCAAAAAAATAAAAGCATTCAGTTCATTTGGTGTGACTGTCTCAGGCAAGACAAGGCACAGGGTGGTGTGTGGCTTCCTAGATGGAAATGGCTGCAACCTCATGATGCAGGATGTTGTTTCCTTTGCATTGCCAGGGGAGGGTTATTCCCTTCACACAGCTGCTGCCCTGCACGTTACCTGCCAAGAGAACAGTGCCAAATTCCCAGCATGTGCGTTGGTGTGGAAGGGAGATGGCTGAAAGTCAGTTTGGGTGAAGGAGCTCCTCAGATGTGAGGGAAATGCTTTAGAGCCCTTTGCTGTAGTGAGAGGAGGGAGCTGACAAGGCTCGGGACTCCTGACTCCGGGATACTCCTGTAAAGGCACGGTGGCTGTAAGCACACGGCTGGAATTCTGGCATCTGTGCTTCCATTTTTTTACTTCATTTTTTTATTGATTAAACATGGTGATAATTCTGTAATGCCAACTTTTCCTCCAAGCTTTGAGTGTCTGTATCATTTAGGGCCCGAGTTGCAGCTTTTTCTCCTTTAAGAGCCTTTAAAGAATTGTGGCAGAGGGAAGAGAGGGTGTTTGTCCAAACCTGGGCTCTCTCCTTGCAGACAGGTGCCTCTGGCTCACCCCTGTTGATTGACATGCAATACTTGCCCTTTGCCTGTGCACACTGGGCTTGTCCCAGTGAGCCCTGTTTGTTCAGGGAGGGCATTTGGTGTAACTCAAGTGCAGAGGGACCAGAAGGAAGGGAAATAGCTGGAAGAAGAGTTAGTGGAGCATGTAATGTGCTCCAGCAGCTGGCTCCCATTTCCGTCTCTAAGAGCTCCCTTTTCCCCACACACATGCTCTCGTGGGCTCAGCTGATGCAATGCACGTCAGCCTAATCTCACATTCCTGGGCCGTGTTTCTGACAGGGAGGTTTGGCTTAGTCCATGAGCAGAGCTCATAAGCAATCATTGTGGTGTAGCCATGATGGCAAAATCAGGGGCTGCTTCTGGGCATCGGGCATTTCCCTCCAGGAACTCAAAGCTGATCTCAGTGGCTGCCCTGGGGGGAGTTGCCAATGGCTGGCTTTGAGTCCTGGAGCTGCTGGAGCATGTGGAGAAGGGAATAGGGTTAGAAACAGTCATAGCCAAGATGGAGTGTGAAGCTAAGGAGGTGAAGTTTGGCTTCTGGATGTTCCACGGGTGTTGGAAGGCAGTTTTGGGAAAGCCCTGTGTCTGGTCAGCTGCTGTCACTGCCCTGGGATGGTTGCGAGCAGGAAATGGCCATGGAATTCCCAGAGTTGCCTGCCAGTGGCTGCTGAGCCTGTGAGCTGGTCGAGGTGTTGCTGCACCTTTCCAGGAAAGGCAGCAGGCAGTGTCCTGAGCTTCCCAGCAGTGCTGTTCTGCTGCTGCTCTGGGTCTCTCACTGACTTAGAAAGCACTAACTGCTGTATTATGCACTTAAAATACCAAACTGCTGACTAAGTGCCAGTCCCCTCTGCCATCTGCAACCAGTTTAGTGGAGGGGGACTGGTGGGGACATTAGTGAATTGTTCTGTTATTTCTACTTCTAGAGACTCCATAGGGCTTCACTGCTTGGTGCCCTGGGTGTGCTCTTGCTGCAGGTATTGGACTTGCTGAGGTGGGAATGGAGAGCTGGAACTGCTGTCAGGGTTTTATGTTGTTGCCTCCTTTAGTAATTGCTTTGGGAACAAATACCTCCAGCTTTGTCCAGATGTATTTCTGTCCTTGGCTTGAGGTTTTTTAAATTGATCTCTTTATACCAGAGCTGACTCACTGGTCTGGGATCAATTTTGATAGTTTTAGCTACCGAGTTGCTGTGTTGCAATTGATGGTGCATTTTACCAAGAAGAAGAGTGTCTAATGGCAAGCTGCTCCTTTGAAGGAAAAAGCATTCTGCCTGGGAGTGCTGCTGCTTCCCTGGGTTCTGGAAGAGCTGGAATAACTTCCACCAAATCCCTGAGCTGCCAAGCACTGCTGGGAGGGAACAGGTACCTCTACAGGAAGGTGACTTGGTACTCTGTGAGCTGCCAACGTGTTTGCTTGTGAGGAAAGTGCAGTGGTGATGAGGTGGTGGCTTTGATGCCTCGATGAAAAAGTGACCCTTGTCTTCCTGGCATTGCCACAGGAAGCTTTTGGGTGAGGGAGCTGAGCTAGCCAGGAGTTCAGCACTTTCTGAAAGGATCTGCACTCTGAACTGGAGCTGTTCCTCTAAAAAGCAGAGATTACAGGGTCAATTCAGAAAACTCTACATGTGAGAAACAGTAAGAAACGAGGTTTTTCCTCATTCCAACTTTTATTTCATATAAATAATCCCTCTACATCAGATTTGTCAACTTCTTGGTCTTTTCTCTCACCATAAAAGAAGCAGCAGCTAAGCCACAGTTGTCCGAAAAATCGCAACCCAGGCACCAACCAAAGTGCATCGAGCAAAGTGTTAATGAGCAGAAAAAAATTACACTTGGAACAGGCACGACCTGCCCAGCCCTATCCCTGGAGCCTGCATCAGACTCAGTCCTTCCTGGGCATCAAGACCTGCAAAGTCAATTGGCTTTGCAGGAGGAAAAGGAGGGAATGGAGGAACAGCAATGGTTTTCCTTTCAGAACAGTCTAGGGCAATAAGGTTTCCTATCTCTCCAGCACGGCGCTGGACCAGGGCAATGGGAGATCCCTGCCTGGCTGTGTCCGAGTGCTCTGGAGTACAACACCTCCTGAGCTGAGACCGTGTGTTCCATGGACCAGGTCAGAGACCTGATGTACAAAATAATAATAAATTAACAAACTAAACAATTGTAAGCAGGCTTTTGAGGCAGTCAGATAAGGAAAATGAGTGTTTAACAGTGATGGAGGAGCTCCAGGACCTGGAGCAATTTTACAATCTTCTGTTTCTCTGGTGGGTAAGTCCAAATAAACCCATCTGGGCTTTGGTGGGGTGAAGATATTTCTACTGATAAAATACAAAAGCTGCACACTCTGTTTCTTGACAATACCTAGTGTGAAGCCAGTAAACTCTCCTGGATTTGGCATGTGGAGGAAATTCCCAGGCTTGTGCTTCGTGGTAGGTGCTGTGGGTCTAAGTCACAAACCAAACGTTTATGTGTGCAAGTATTAGTTTGTTAAAGCAGCATCGAGTATTTCAGTCCACACGTACCAGCCTGGTCTCCAGGGCAGTTTGGCAGCCTGGCCAGAGCAGGTCCTGCAGGGCATTCCAGGCAGTCTCCACACACTGGGCTCAGGGACTTTACTCTGGTGTCAGCGCCTCCAAGGCAATGCCCTCTCTGCTGTGTGATTCCCGTGTCAGAAATCCTGCTGTGTTATCCCTTGTGCTTTCTCCTTAACTGGTAGCTGTATTCCAGCTAGGTCCCAGCTTGCTGTGACTGGAAATCCAAACAGCTGGAATTGCTGCACGTTTGTGCTTGTAAATGCTCCTCCAGCACCTGCACTTGAAAGGTGTCTTTAAGGCCAGCTCAGAAGGTCTGCAGAGCAGCTTCCAGGGGACTCCTGCCCTCTTAATTCAAGCACAAGGCTACAGAAGGCACAACCGGGAAGGTGAAAGCTGATAGGAAGTCTTGGACCTCCAGGTCCAGTCAGGCCTGGGTCCTGCTGGCTCTGCTTTGGGCAGTGTGGAGGAGGTTGTCGAGTTGTGCTCTCCCCCTCCCTGCCCTGCTGCAGGGGTGCCCAGTTCCCAGTGCCCCTGGGCAGCGTTTGCTGAGCTGTGCACACCCCTGCTCAGCCCACGAGCCCCCTTCCTTGGCACACAGCAGTGTCCTGATGTGCTCTCAGCCTCTGGCAGGGGAGAGCTGGAGGCTGTTCAGGGAGGAGGTGCTGGGGGGATCTGTGCTTGGCACATGGAGCTCTGTGCCCCACGGCTGTGCTCCATCCATCTGTCCATCCACAGCCCTGCCACTACTGCACACCTCTGCCAACACTTCAACCACGTGCAAACCTCTAGTACCAGAGCTCTGAATGCTATTTCTGCACCCACCTATGAACTACACCCTCACAAGCCACCCCTTCCTGCTGCTCCAGGCATTGGCACAGCCCTGACACGGGCAGGTCCCTCCAACCTCCAGGGCAGGAAACAGGGGGCATGCCCAGAAACCCAAACCTTAACTCTACACAGAATTAGTCATTAAATAAAATAAAGTGCATCCAATAGACATTTCCTTGGCTTGCCACACAGCTGCAATATAGGCCAAACAAATAAAGAGATAAGTGATGGTGTTTTGCTGTAGGGTGTGAGTGTGGGCACCCTTCCCTGTCCTCTGGCACACGAAGAGGGAAGGGGGATGCCAGAACTGTGAGTGGGGTGGTGCTGGGCACAGGGCAGGTGCTGAAAGCTGATTTCATAGAAGGTAAAAGAGCGAGGACAAGCTTGTGCTCCTCTTCTCTTCTCCTCCACCGCCTCCAGCATGTTATCCTGCGAAAGGAGAGCAGAGACAACAGCGGGATTATCAATCTCCAGGGAACTGCTGAGGTGTAAATTAAAATGTCTGCTGAGTTCCAACCTGCCCTTCCTGCACGGCTGGGGCTGCCTGGGAGGCACCACTGGGGCATAACCCAGATACCTGCTGCCAAATCCAACGGGAGCAGTGGGGGCTCCACAGCCCAGGGGATGAGCTGACTGTACCAGTCGGGATGGAACACCCCCAGTCCTCCTCTGGGACAGGTACATCTCGGGAACCACAATCTTGACATGTTTCTGTGTGTGCTGGAGCAAAAGGAGGGACTGGTTTCCGTGTGAACCTGGCCTGGGGGTGCAGCCCTTGTGTGCCCCAAGGGCAGAGGGGGAATCAGCTTTCCCTAGTGAAAAACTATCCCATGTCTGGAGCCTGCTGTCCTGGAGCTGCCTCCAGCCCCAGACACGCTGATTTTAATTGGGAAAGGCAGACTTTTTATTCTTCTCTGGCTGCCAGATGCTTGGGTGCTGCTCAGAACTGCTGAGCTGGCATTTTCCTACCTCCATGTTTAAATCCACAGCTCTGCCTTTTGCTGATGCAGATTTCAGCACCCAAAGCTCCCGAGAAAGGTCAGGGAGGGGATATAAAAAGAAAAACAGATGAAACCCTGCGAAGGCAGGAGAGGCCATAGGAAGCTTGGCTTGCATAAAAAACAAACTCAAGGAATCATCTAAGGACACAGCCACGGATATTTAATAAGGAACTGCTCTGCAGCCAGAGTACCCAAGGTACTGACACAGCCAATGCCATGTGCAGCTGAGAGGAGATGGCTGCTGGAGACGTTATTCCAAGAGCAGCTCCGTTCCCAGTGCTGGAATGGCAGCAGCTCAGCTGGCAGAGCCCTGAGTTGTGTTTAGGTTGTTAAGCTTTGGTAAGTGGCCTTCAGGAGGTCTCTACTCCATCCATGGTGTGCTTCTAAGTCATCTGTCCCTGACAGGTGGCCACCTTTTCCAGATTTTCCCATATTTATTCCTGTGTTTCTCCAATACTTTGGTCTCTGCCCCAGCATTGTGTTGTGGCTTGGATGTTTCTCCCCCTTTGCTGGTGTTCGCTGCCCCTGTATTTACAGAGATCACCACTCCACTGCTTTCTGCCTTCATTCTCCTAGACTAAACAAAATTCCCTCACCAGCCCTGCAGTCCTTCCCTGTATGTCCTGAGTCTCTTGCACCATTCTCACAGAATCCCTGTGTTTTCCAGTGTTACCAGTATTTTCCCACATCGTGCCACGGGAGAGGTTTCCATCACTCTGGAGGTACAGAGACAATCCCACTCCCTGGCTCTCTGCTGTGGTGGCACTCAGAGGTGCTCTGGGAATTTGAACTACCCATGGGATGACAGTGGGCTCCAGAGGGTGCTGTGGGCTGCAGGAAGGACCAGAGAGGTTGGTGCTATTCCAGGCAAACCCATGACCCTGCCAATCCCAGGCCAGCTCCCAGGACGTGCCAGCAGATGGGATTTCCTGTCTCCTGAACCTCGAGGAAGCCGGTTGTGCTTCCGCAGCTCCCTGGCTGTTCTGGGAAGTGCTGGGCTGTGCTTGTGCTGCTTCCTGCACCAACCCTGGGCGCTGCTCTGCATCAGAGCCGACCTGTGCTGACCCCTCCGTCCCCAGCACACAGGCCCTGCCGGCCCCACTCCTGTTTACGTCAGCCAGAGCGCCAAGGTCACATCCCTGGAGCTGCTCTGCAAATCCACCCCCAGCTGCATTTGCTCTAAAGATGTTAAGATTAATTTTCTCAAGAGAATTCAGGGAAAAGCTTCTGTGGTTTTTGTGTATCGTTTACTTCTCCAGGACTTGTTGGACATTCTCCAGGGATTCCAGTCCTGCACTTCGGGTAAATATTTATTCCTTGTTATTTGAAGCGACGGATGAAAGCCCCACCACGCTCCCTGCACAGCATCTCCCACTGGTTTGAAGGTGCTGGAGATTTTTAGTGCCATAAATAGACACTGGGAGGGGGAGCTGTGAACCCCACGTGGTGGCTGCATGGAGCTGCTGCTGTACAAGAGGGGATGTGGGATCTGCATTCAGTGTGAGTGGGACACGGCCCCGCAGAGCCCCGGAGCAGGGCAGGGACAGCACATCCTTATCACTGATACATGTGTTTTCAGCTGTTCCAGATGCTGCCCTGCTTTGGGACGTGTGAGGTCATGAACAGAGGGCATGGCCCTGGCAGCAGGTGAAGTGACCCAGTCCAGGATTTTCTACTGGATGGAAATTCCTCAAGATAAACTTTGTAACAGCATGCTATTTTTACATCCCTCTGGGGCTGATAGGGTGTATTTTGCAGTATCACACCATCTCTTTCAACACTGATTTTCCAAAAACTGCACTGTATCAAAACTGGATCACCAGTATTTAAAAACATAACACTAAAATTTTCTGTCTGAAAAGGTTTAACGAGGGCTCCGGTTTGGGTTTTGTGAGATTTGAGATGTTGAACAGACACGTTCCTGGGACATACGTGGCGTTTTTCAGAGAAATAAAAGCAAATCCCACTGGAATTCACCTGCTACCTCCTGGCAGGGAATTATTAACCAGTCCTGCTAACCCACTGCTGAGAGGGGGGACAGGACACAGACCCTGCTGCACGGGCCCACCTGGCTCCTCCTCAGGCGAAAGGTGTCCCTGTCTGTGGCAGGGGGTTGGAACTAGATGGGCTTGGCTGGGAATTACTGATTGCTCTGAGCACCAGAAGGAGTGGGGGCATGGTTGGGCAGGGAAATGAGCCTGGCAGCAGGAAGGAGGGAGAGGGAAGGCAGGATGACATGGACATGTTAACCCCTCCGTCTCCCCTGGCATTCCAACCCTTGGTGTTTCCCAAGCACTGGGTATCGATCCCGGTCCCCAGTCCCGGCTCAGCCCAGCAGGGACCCAAGTGCTGAAGTGCAAACACCACGTTAAGGCACCTCCTCTTGTCCAGGCCACTCGGCTGTGTTTGTAATTAAGCTTGCTGTAATTAGTCCAGGGAGGAGTGATGGAGTGGAGAGCCACACTGAAGTGGACTCAGGGCCCTATTACCAAACCACAGGAATCTCCATCACTGAGATGAAAATGGACAGCTGTAATTTAGTGTTTCCTCTTAGCTGGTGTCTAATTAAAGTTATCCTGAGTGAGCAAGGTTGTCATTCATCCCTTTATCCTCTAATTTGGGGGGAGTTTTGGTAGGTTGGAGAGGCATGGCTGGACAGTAATCTCCCACTATGTGCATCCAGGTGTTTCAAAACATTCTCCTAAATGCTGTTGGAATTAATTTCCCTTCCTGGAAGGAATTTTCGTTGCAGAACAGAACCAGCTCCTGCTGGTTCTTGGTGCTTTGTCTTTTTGAAATCGCTGTGACTCTTGTGCTTCTCCCTGCCTTTTGTATGGATGGGATTATAAGGAAAGTCTTTGTTAGCAGCTTAGCCACTTCATCCCTAAGCTCATTTGTACTCTGGGATGAATGCTGAGCAGCACTGGGGGACACACTGCTGGGCTGGGGTCTGCAGGAAAGCTCATGGAATCTGGGAAAGGCACTTCAGGGGGGTCTGCCTGCCTGGCTCTGAGCAGCCAAATGCCTCCAGTGCCTCCTCATAGAACAGAGCTGGTGCCTCTGTAAAGGAAAGAGCCAGGTGTATCCTGACAGCAACTCAGGTGTGAGGGAACCTGGCCTATGTTCTGGAAATGCTCATCTCTGCTTTGTGTGCTATCCTGATCTGGGAGCATTGACCAGAAAACCCACACCTTGCAGCAAAGAGCCCCTATACTCTCCCTTTGCCCTTTGCTCCCAGTTCCTACCTTACCTTTGTGCCTGCCATCCTTTGTTCCTTCTCCTGACTTTTCCTGCTTTCCATTTCCTTTTTTCCTTATGGAAGACAGTTCTTTGCCTGTGTAAAACCTGGAACACTGCTCCATAGCCAGCTCTGTTCTCTCTCCTTTGTTTGGTTCATGATCCATCTCACCCTGTGTATTTGTACACTGCCCTGCACCAGTGTTACTACCCATCACTCACAGTGTAGCCCTCACACACCCTGTACTGGATAGACAATCCCCCTGCAGCCAACCTTCTCCAAACCTCTGCCCACGGGGTGGGCCCTGAGTGGCTTTGAAAGTGTGTGGGGCAGGTACCATGCTGACCTCAATTTGTGATCCCCCACAGAGACAAGTAATCCCCCTGAGGTTATCCCTCCCATCCTTTCTGAGGTTTTCCCTTCCCAGGAATAGTCTCAGTTTGTGCCCTAACTAATGTGTGTCAGCAGTCCAAATTTTCCCGTCTAACTTTCTACTCCTTCCCCGTCCACTCCAGGACAGGCTTTTGGGATTCACAGATTTAACTCCCTGAGGGATCCCTAGCCCTGCTAATGAACATTTCCAGACAGTTTTCTGCTCTGCTGCCATTATACCACAGCAAGTGGAGTTGCAGCCCTGTACTGTGGCTGAGAGCAGTAATGGGACAGCAGACACTCCATGGGGAGGGGTCAGGAACTCACCTGTCTCAGGCAAGCCGGTGCAACCTGTGCTAGTTGAGGGCATCCCCAGTGTCCTTGTCCTTGTAGTCCTCAGGCTGGTCCCCTTCCCCGGACTGGGCCTTTGCTGGGTCCTGCTCAGGCACAACAGTCTTGTCAGAGCTGGCTTTCCCTGGAGGCAAAGGCTCCTGGTGTTCAGTGCCTTCAGCATCTTCTCCTCTTTTCAGTGCAAGTGCCTGCCCCTCCAGGGCAGTGCTTTGGGTCACTTCCTCCCCTCCTCTGCTCACCAGCTGTCCCTGATCTGCATCCAGTCTGTCTCCTGCTGCCGTGTCCAGCTGTTCTCCGTGGCAGTTTGAGGAGTTCTGGGAGGACTCCTGTTGTGAAACTGGGTTTTTCTCTGATCCAGCTCCATCTACATTCGCTCCCACGGGCAGGGACAAAGTCTCCTCACTGGTGGCTGGCACAGTGCTTGGAAGGCTGCTTGGAGAAGCGGTGCTGCCAGTGCTCTCCTTCTGGGAGGTGTCAGCAGTGCCAGGCTTCCCACTGGCATCTTCCCCAACACTTTCCTTGCTTGACTTGGGCCCTGGCTCTGAGTCCCCTGTGCTGGTCACAGACACCTCTGTGCTGCAGCCCTTCAACCCCCTCCGCTCCTCCTTCTGCCCGTTGTGGGCAGGATGGACCTTCCCGCCTTCCCTTCGGAGCCGCTGGGCCAAGGAGGCCCCGTGATCCTGGAGGCTTGGCTGCTTCCCCTTCTCCTCCTGCTCAGCTGTGCAGTTCTCCTCCATCCCCTCCTCTCCTCTGCTCTTCCGCTTGTCCACACCGAGGCTCCTCTGAGAAACAAAGGAGACATTTAGTTCAGCTTTTAAAAATACCAGTAGATGGTATTTCTGGTCTCTGAGGGTTCTCAAAACTTGAGGAAAAATTTGGAAACGCCATTAAAAAGTGTTAAGGGATGTAGGTGAAGTGTTCAGGGACCAGAATAGGTGGAGTGGTTGTACTGACAGAGGGGCAGTGCAAGCAGTGAAGCTGCTGTCACACCATGCCATGTGGAGAGTGCTAACGAGGGGTACACTGACCCCAGAACAGAGGTCCCAGCTCACAGTGGCTCAGAGAATCCAACTTTCCTGATAGTGCACATGTTGAGAAAACTCAGCAGGCAGCCTGGAACTCCTGAGCTCACCTGGCCATCAAGGTCATCCTTCAGAAAAGACATGTCCTCGCCTTCTTTTGCATCCCACCTGTCAAGAAAAAAATTAAATCAGAATTGAGGCCCTCAAGCTCTCATATGGCAAAGCCACTGCCCCTGCCCTACCAGGGCCATGCATTCCAATTGGCTGAGCTCCTTGTCCAGGCCCATCCACAGACATTCATCTGAGGCCACTAAATCTTAATGAACTGGTTGTTATCATTCTAACTGTAATGAAAACATAAACTCCAATTGCCAGAGCAGACAGTTGAGTTGGACTAAGAAGATACAGTTTGCTTGTGCTGGTGCTTGCCACAGTCTGGTCCTGTTTGCCTGACAGTTGCCCAAGTGTCCCAAATCTCAGAGGGAGATGCTGAAGGATAAAACTGCTTTGAAGTTCCCAGCATCACTGGCAGATGCTTAGGGTAGGATTTGGAAAGAGGGAAAATGCGCTGAACTGCCTCCTGTTCCCTCTCCAGCTTCCAGGAACATGAAGCTCTGGGATTTCCTGAGCCTGAGATGGTATCTCTGTTGAGTCATGCTGAGCTTAGCAGACAGTCTCTCCCAAGAAATTGTGTGAGTGCATTTTGACCCCATAATAAATTTGCAGCAGCTACAACATCCTGTGCCAAGGAGGGCCACGGCTTCATGAAAGGTTGCGCGAGGAACTGCTTTCTTTGGCTTGTCTGAATTTGCCGGGTGAATATAAATCTGAACCTGCCCATGCAGTGCTACTGGGCAGGGAGGGGCTGAGGAACCCTTCCCTGTTCGTGTGTGTGCCTGCTGACTTACAGCTCACACACAGATACAATACACGCATACATAACACACACATGCCCTGCCCGACACTGCTGCCAGCTCCTCACCTTCTGGCTCTGCCCGTCAGTCTGTCCTTCCCCTTGGCACGGCTGCTCACGGCGGGCACTGCCTTTGGGCCAGGGTCGCTCACATTCACCCCGTGGTGTCCTCCACCTGCAAAACACGTCGGAAATGCCAGGTAAAAGCAAGCGGCACCAGCCTGCTGCCTCTGGTCCTCCAGACCCCGGGAGATGTTAGCATCCTTGGATCCCTGGAAAGCCTCTGAAGCTGTGTGCATACTGCACATCTGGTTTTTAAATACAAATTGAGAATTTAGGGTGTTTCTTCTGTGTTTGTTTTTTTTTTTATTATTCCAAATTCCAATTCTAACTCTAAATCTGATTCCTTGGATACAGTGTCCCTTATGCTGTTCTTGGAAGTCTTGTTCTCCCCTGCACACAGATATGAGAGCAGCCACGTGGTATGTCCCCAAAAGCCAAATCTGTGAGTGCCTGGAGAGAACTCTCCATGAGGAGTATCAGAGGTGCTGGCATTTAGTGGGGTGGCACAACAGAATCCTGTTCCTTACTCACCTCTGCCATCGGCAGGAAAGGACCTGTGCTGAAATTTCCTTGCATTTCTTCCCCCTGCAGGGACACAGCAAAGGATGCACCGAAGTGAGGGAGGGTCTGCAATGGACAGGCAGCAGAAAGGCTGATGTTCAAATAGGGTGTCACAAGGGAATGCTTGGTTCTGCCAGTCCATCTCCTGAGCAACAGGAGTCAGGATGGACTCATGCTAGTAAAGAAGCCAGCATGAGCCCCAGGGATCAGAGATGCTGTGCTCTGGAATAGGATTGCCTCTCAAACCAGTGTTTGGGAAAGGAGGCAGGGCTGAGCCTCCGGATGGTGTCGTCCCAGGTTACAGAAGCCAGTGCTGTCCCTGGGAAGGTCCAAAGCTCTAGGAAGGTCCAAAGCTCTAGCACCCAGCTCAAATCCCATCCCCTGAGCCCCCTGCCCAGCCCAAGGAGGGCTGAGCCCCAGCTCAGAGGCATTTGCCCAGGGAAGCAGAGCTTCTCAGCTGACACAGCCCCGGCTGCTGCGGCACTGGGTGCGCAGGACCAGCATTCACTAGTGTCAGGACAGAGTCTAGGTGTCCCCTGCCAACCTTTCTTATTGCTGGGATTATCCAAGGCTGGCTCCCCATCCTTAACAAAGTCCTCTTCAAACCTGCAGGTTAAAAATAGGCATTGTCAGACCTGGCCATCCTCCCCCAGTGTGCAAAGTGTGGGCAGGAGCCCTCAGCCCTTCTGCACCTGCCCACGGGCAAACCTGGGCAGGTTTCTCAGCAGGAGCTGAAGCTGCTGCACCAGCCAGGAGACATGAGGCTGTAAGGCAATTCTACCCCAAAGGAGAGCCTCCAAAACCTTTACGTCAGTACCCACATGTATATGTTCAGTTCTATGAACTCCCTATAGATGCCTGTAGTGTAGCTGTGCCATGCTCAAATGCAGCTTCCCACAGCTTCCAAACACAGTCTGAAGTAGCTTTAGGAGTCGTCATCTCAGATCAGACTCATTGGGTTCTTTTCTAGTCCTGCTTATTTTGTGTTATGGCTTTTCTCTCAAAAATGGATATATGACAGAACAGTTGGGCTCAGGGCTGTCTTGCCAGCAACACTCAGCACCTGCTTAAGACAGCTCACCTCTAATTATTGGGGTCTCAGTGTCTGAAAATTGATGTGTTTGGTCCCGTTCATCAGCCAAAGGATTGTCCCACCTACCTGCCCCGTACAAACTGTTTTATCAGCGAACCTTTGTATTCCCTAACTCCATACCCTTCCATAGCCTTATCCTGCTGTAGGTGCCAGGTCATCCTCCAAAGCTCCCTAGGTGGTGTGACCCAGCTGAAACAGCACAGTCAGGGGGACAGTGATTAAGGCAGGGATGTGCCAGTCCCATTCCCAGCTCTCCCACATTGCTGTCCCCAGCACTGCTCCTGTATCCCGCAGATGATCCTTTGAATGACCCCTCAACCTGCAGTGCCTGAACAGGCTCAGTGTATGAGGATTTAGGGACGTTGGATTCTCCTGTGCTTGAACAGGACAAACAAGCAGGGCAGTGAGAGAACCTGTGGAGTGGTATCTGATCCCACGTGGTGAGGGGGAGAAAGAGGCAGCAGTGTGGATTTGGTCAGGGAGAGGCACATGACAGCATGGGATGTGCTGAGCAATAAGTGTCTGCACCAGATCCCACCACTGGCTTTAGGCCTCTGCAGGCAAACCCCCCCGGTGCAGGGAAGGACCTACATGTGCTCCGACTTCTCCACATCCCACGCCCGCCGCCACTCGCCCTTGGCGTTCTTGTGCCGTGCCAGGCGCTCCAGGTCAATCTGCTCCCTCTCCCTCTTCCAGCGCATGTACTCCGAGCGTTCCCGGCCAGTCATGGGGAAACTCAGGTCTCCAGGGCTCTTCTGCACTGACTTCCCACCATCCTGGGGCAGGGAAAAGAGCTTCTGGTTAATAAAACTGCCTGGAACAGCCACGTTCAGGGTACTTTGTGCTGTCACCACCAGAAATGCTCAGCAGTATTTCAGAACAACCTGGAGCAAGCTCAGCTCCCCTCTCTGCAGTGCTGTGCACACCCAGGGCTCTGCTTCACCCACACCCCAAATCCACCAGTCCTGGGCTTGTTGGCTCTACAGAGAGGAAAACTGAGGCAGGAAGAAGTTACATGGATTGCCTGGAGCCACACTGTAAATCCAAAGCCAAATCACAGCAAGCAACCACTCCCTTCCAGGGATATTCATGGAATCCCAGACTGGGTTGGACTGGAAGGGACCTTAAAGTTCATCTCGTTCCATCCCTGTGCCATAGGCAGGGACACCTTCCACTAGGACACCTTCCACTAGACCAGGCTGCCCCATCCAACTGGCTTTGGACACTTCTGGGGGTTATATTCAACAATACAATGATAATGGCAAAGTATTTCTTTGTTTCCAGTGTTTCAAACGATTAAAATAACTTTCACCTAAAGCCCTGGGTTTTGCCATCTGGACACATTCCTGTTACCTTAAAGAGAAAGGGTGTCACTGCTGTTTCCCTAACCCAAACCACACTGTTTCCTTGCTTCTTGAAGCACTATCCAACCTCCAGATCTGGGAAGCAGCTCCCATAAGATGTAGTTTTTCATTCTAGATGTTCAGCCCCTGATTGCAACCTTTTGGAGCCTACCCCTGTAATTCCTTGTGCAAATGGCCACAGGATGTGTTCACTGCTTTTGTACCTGCAGCCACTTTAACTGTGGGTGTAAATTAGACAGCAGCCTTCACTGCTCATGTGAAGGTTTTAAACCCAAATGTTCTCAGCTTTTCCTGGAAAAGCCACTTTGCTAAGGTTTACTTACGGCATATAGTCAGTTCTTGGAGTGTTTGCAGTAGGGTTTGAGAGGCTGAACTCACATAGAACATGCACTGGGCTAATGAGTCCCCCCAACCTGAAGACTTTGGGACACTAAAATCAAAGTTATGGCTATGAAATCCTTCACACTGAGAAGGTGGAAAAGGAATCCAGCCTTCTGTGACCACCAGGCATCCATGAGAGCCCACAGTCACAGAGCTCAGGCTGACCCTGTGCCCATTCCTGGAGCAAAGGGGCTCTTCCCCTTCACTGCTGTCAGGCTCTTGGTTTGTCACTCCTCCTGACACTGCTCAAAAATTGAAATCTTAATGAAAAGGCAGTTCAGAGCCTACAGAGCATGTGGGGGGAGCTATCCCAGCTGTCAGGTTAATGGATGCGGTGGAAGCAGGAGCCGGCAGGCCGTGGTGTGTTGTCAAGCAACAGTGCGTAGGGAACAGCTCAGTGCAGAGCCAGTCCTGGAGTGCTAATTAGCAGCGGGCAATTCATCCCCTCACACACGTGTCCCTGCAGCCAGCCGCTCCCCCAGAGGAGTTCCCTCTCAGCCCGAGGAAAGCAGAGCAGCGGGAGGGCGGCACTGAAGGCCCTGTTACCTGGGTGACCCACCTGCGTGGGTCTGGAGCTGGGCTGCCTCCAAGTGCTCCTCCATCCTGAGCTGGCAGGACTTGGGGCACCTGAGCCCACGGCCCCAGGGAGGGAGAGAGAGGGGGCACAGAAAGGCAGAGCACAGCAGGGCAGAGCCAGGGCAAGCACTGATGCTGGAGCTGGGGCACACCTGCAGAGGCTCCCCACCACTTCCAGCCCCACAGTGGGTCCTGCCAGGATGGATCCCGATGCACCCATAAAGCCAAAAGTGAGGGCAAGACTGAGGCTGGTGCCATGGTCTCTCGTGGGCCCATGGAGCAGAAAGGGCTGGTCCCTCACCTCAGTGTCAGCAGAGCTGTGGTTGGCTGGACCACAAGACATCGTGTTCCCCTTTCCTGCTCTGGGGGGCTCAGCTGGAATTATTGTCTAGGAGCCCATCTGCGTCCTCCTAATGAATCCTGCTGAGGTGGAGTTATTCAATTTGTGCTCCATTAATTAAAGCATCTGCAGGCTCAGGGGAGCCAGCATGTCTCCAGGCTTTGCATTAAACAGTCAGTGGGAAGGCCTCAGCTTTAATTTACCTCCATCCTCCTCAGCTCCTGCGGAAGTGAGGAGCTGTAGCTAACGCAGCCTGAGCTCCTCAGTCCATGAGGAAATGGTTTTGGGAGAGGAACCAGCCAGGGCTGTGCTGTCACAGGGCATGTTACCCTTGCCTGCAGCTGTGTGAGGGGCTCGATCAGCCACGAGGTCCTGTCACCCTTCCAGCACTGCTTTGCTCTAGGAGTGTCAACTGCTCAGTTACACTTTGGATGAGGAGTGGGATGAACAGTGGGGGCCACATGAGAGCACATTGCTGCTTCACAGAATTACAGCATGGTTGGGGTCAGAAGGGACCTTATAGATCACCTTCCTTCAGGCCTGTGGTGGGGAGGCACATCCTACTGGTTTCCTCTTCCAAGACAAAGTGCCCCAAAGGGACACAGGCCCCACTCACCTTCCGGCTGTGCTCACTTTCTGGGCCTCTGTCACTGTCTGATCTCCTCTTCTCTGCTGTTCTCCGCTCCTCTGCCTGCAAGAGCACAGACACAGGAGTCATTTCAAGGATTAAGCAAGGACTCCTGGCAGGGGAGCCAGTGCATGACCCTGTGCCCACCAGGACATGAAAGAACTGCTCAGTAAAGGTCAGAAAAAGAGGAAGGATTAGTTTCTGGGGCCCTTAATCAAGCTGGTGTAGATAAAAAGGGAAATCAGAGAGCAAGAGGTGTGTGAGAAAAGCGTTCCCACAGGTCCCTCCCTCCTCCCAAGGAAGAGGCTGAGAGCTGTCCTGTATAGTCCCATTTCTTTCCAAGTCAGACCAAGTTTCAGATTTGGGCCAAAGACACAGCTTATGATTCAACTGCACAAGATCTGGGAGCCAACCTAAGGTGCAGTTAAAAGCCAGCATAGGCAAGCTGGGAGTGATTTTTGTCCTTGGCAAACATGGGTGCCCTTCTAGCAGGATCCGTCCCTGCTTCCACTGGGTTTATCCACGCTGTCACCCCTCAGCAGAACAGCCTGCAGAGCACAGAGCTGTGTTGGGAAAGGCTTCCTGCCTGGCTGGACAGCTGCAGGGCTGGGGGCGTGTGGGCTGAGCTACCATTGTGCAGTGCCAAGCAGAACTGAAACACAAAGAGGAACGTGGAGCACAAACTGCCAGCTCAGCCCTTCCAGAAAGTGGCAGCGCGGTGGGATCCAGCCCAGGCTGGAAACAGGACTTTTATTCCAGGCATTTGCCAGCCCCAGGTTTAATTTTAGAGGTTGGGTGCGGGAAACTCAGGATGTCAGTCTCAACACCTGCAGCTCTGCCCAATCTCCCAAGGCAGCTCACCCTGCTGCCCGCTGTTCCCACATACCCAGTGGGATCACGGAGGGAGCGAGCTGGGGACAGGCTTTTTGGGGGATCACCCACACATACTGAGTCTGAAGAAGGTGGGAACTGTGGCCATACAGCCACTGCTCACAGACACTGCCCTTGGTGCACAACAGCTTCTCTGGTCTGACTGGTAGTGCCAGTGCAGATCGAAGCTTTTGAAAACAGATCCTTGGAAATAACGAGGAAATGGTAGCTATATTGTCCTAGAATTTTTCAGTAAAGATTTGGGGGTGCTCAGAGAAGCCACTCCTCACCATATCCTGTGTGCTGCAAAAGGGGATTTATTGCAAAACGTTGCTGTGAAAACTCATGCCAATAAAAATGCTCCCTCTGGACTCCAAGTCCCCTGCTCGTGCAGCCCTACGAGAAGAACCCTGTAGTGAGGGATCCAACGAGTCTCTGCACTCCAAACCGAGCATTTACAGGGAGATTAAACAGCAGAAACCTGGAGAGTTTGCTTATTTAGGGAGCTGGCTGGGAGCAAGGTGCAGAGGGGCCTTTAGCCTTAAAGCAGCTGGAAGTAAAACTAGAAGTCCTTTTGGAAAGGCAACAAAGGAGTCAGTTACTGCAGGAGAGCCGGAGCCCCTCCATCCCTGGGGGAAACCTGGTGTGGGGGGAGAGATGGGAGAGAAGGAGCACCATTTGCCTCCAAAATGCCAGACAGCTTATGACTGATGGGGAAACTGAGGCAGGGAGCTGCAGGGCCGTGTGTGCTCACTGTTCCATCTGAGTCTACCTATCTCCCCCAGGCTCATGCAAAGAGTGATTCCATCTGGCCCCTTTACAATGCCTGGCTGGGCCCCCTAGGACAGGAACCGGAAAACCGGAGTATCCGCACAGCCAGAGCGCTGAGCCAGGCCGTGAGCAAGCTGGAGGGAGCAGTGAGCTCTGCCTGCAGTCAGCACGGCTTCCCTTCAGCCCTGGAGCAGCCAGGAGCCAGCAGGTGCCCAGGGAACCCACAGGGATGACCCAGCTGAGGGACCGTGCTGCGGCTCGCGGGATACAGGGGAAGAGGCAGCTCCTGCACAGCTGGTCAGTGCTGGAGACCTGCATCCCAGAGTCCTGCATTGCAGAGACTGCATCCCAGAGAATGTCCCAGAGTCCTGCATCCCGGGGCTGTCCCAGAGTCCTGCATCCCAGGACTCTCCCAGAGTCCTGCATCCCCGGGCTGTCCTGCTCGGAGCACTCGCTCATCAGTGCCCACCACAAACCGCTGGCTCACAGGGACACCACACAACCCTCCACCCCTTTGCACCTTCAGTCCAAGCCATGCCTTTGGCTTTAGTCTGCAGCTATTTTTGCTTCTCAAAGGGCCCTGTGGAAAACTGAGAGGAGGATACAAAAATGTAGCTCTTTTGTACCAGGACAGCAGGTCTGAGCTGAGCAGAGAACAGTCGGCTTCACTCTTGCTCTGGCTCCGGAGCAGATTTCCCACTGTCCTGCTGCCCCAGAGCTGCTGCTCCCCTCTCACCACACACAACCAGGAAGCAAAACATGTTTTTCTCCTTCTTCCTCCTCTCCACCCCCAAAATGATGAAAAATGACAAGGACATTATCATCCCTAGTGTAACTGTTCCCGCAGAGCAGGGGGAGGGCACAAAAGCCTGAGGCGGAGAGGGAAGATTACAGTTGTTTATCCCAAGGTTTATGCCAGGATTTCTCAGTTTCTCAGCCCAGAATGGCCCAGAGTGGGGCAGAGCCTGCTCCAACCCAGGACACAGGTCTGTCTGGCCTCCCAACACATTCCCAGGTACTGTCCCTGGTAGTGGTGACAGTGCTGGTGCCATTATCCAGCCACGTTCAGCACTGCTTTGTGCTCCCAGTTCTCAAAAAGCTTTGACAGGCTTCCACATCTCTGGGCTACTTCACTGTCTTCTTATTTCAAAAACAGGCACTGACAGATGAGTTAAATTAACCTTTTGGTACCCATTTCTCCAGGCACGTGTCAGCACCACAACTGGCATTTCTGCTGCAGGAGGAGATTTTTGTAGGAGCTTAGAGCTGGTTTTCCAGTGCTCAGATCTCCCACTGGGCAGGATTTTCGAAACTAGTACATGAGAGGATTTTTTTTTCTAAGTCTTTTGAAAAATCTGCCTCCTGCTCGTGCTGCCTGAAGGGAGCTAAAGACTTCTCAGCCACCCTTTCTGCCTATTTTCCTCTCCCACCTGCAATGTAAAAGCAAGTGTTTCTCCTGCCACAGGTTTGGTTGCTCTCCTGTGCAAGTGCTGGAGTCCAGAACATCTGTGTTAGCCCCTGAAAGCAGCTTTTGTGTCTCTTGATTACAGTCATTTCTGATACACCATCCTGGGAAACTATGTTAATAAAAGGACAATTTAAAAGCCCTGAAGCTCTATCAACCACCCATTTGAAAGATGATTTGTAACCTGTTAATTAACCATTGTGCTCTGCTGGTCCTGGGCCGCTGTCTCTCAGCTCTGGCGTATTAATGAGCCTGAAACACTGCCAGAGTGTTTCAGGCCATGGAGTGGTTTTTTCGGGCTGAACGGGAGGCATTGTCCCCAGCCCTGCTGCAGGGAGAGCCCTGAGGCAGCTTTGTGGACAGACAGGCAGAGCTGGCTCCCAGAGGTGGCACCTCCAGGCCAGCAGCAGCTGCGGAGGCCGTGAAGCTGCATCAGTAGAGCGAGGGGCTTTGCAAGGGGGCAGGATAATTTGGTCCCCCCTGCCCACTGTGCCACCAGAGAGTGAAAGAGCCTTTTACCTTCTGGCCCTGGGGCTGCCCTGGCAAGGGAGATCACCAGACCTGCTGTTTTCCCCTTGCATTTCCCCTCTGGCAGCTCCTGCCCCAGCTGTGCCACAGTCCGGCACCGGCAGTGTGGGGTTAGCCAGGGGCACCATGGGCAGCAGGAATAGCAAGAATTGGAGTCTTCTTTTTTCTTCCTTGTTTTCTTTCTAATGAATTTCACCATGAATAAAAATAGAGAAAATGTGCAGTGATGAGGACACCCATCAAATACTTTAATAGGATAAATCTGACGAATGCAAGGAGGAAGCAACTCGCCACTGTCCAGGCTACTGAAGGGGGAGTGATGGATGTGACCCTTTCTCCTAGGCCTCTGTGGGAACCCCAGAAGAGCAGGAAACCAGGTGGGGCTTGAGGTGAAAAAGGATGGACTGTGCTGGGATTAATGAGAGGCTGAAAGCTAATCCTTGAATTGGGGGTCCTAGATCAGGTCCTAACACTCAGCTAGACAGATGGCAACACTGACACCCCGCCAGGCTCTCCCTCCCAGTAGCTGCTCAGTTTGGGGATGAAGATGGAGTTTCTCTTTTTGGATTAACAACTGATTAAAAGGTAGAAAAGAAAAAGTGGCAACGAAATGGCGGTTTCCATGGCAGAAGATTAGCAGGAGTGTGCCACTGGAATATATGCTGCTCAACATGCTCATAAATGGTCTGGAAAAGGAGCTGAAGAGAGGGATGACAGTTTGCTGACGATACTAAATCATCCAGGGCAAAGAATGTAATTTGCCCGGAAAGAGCTGCAAAAGATCTCTTGACACTGAATGTCTGCATCATAAAATTACAGATGAAATTCAATATCAGGAATACAAAATAACTCCCACAGAGAAAATGCCCTCCTTGTGTACCCACACAGAGTAACAAGGGCTGAGCTCTGATTAATAGTCAGGGATGATGGTTTGGTGCTATTGTGACCAGTTCTCTGAAAATGTTAGCTCGATTATTTAGCAAAGAAAATGCAAAGCTGTTGGGAGAAGAATAGAGAACAAGCCCAAAACATTGCTGTGTCACTGAGTATGTCCAGGAGAGCCCGCAGCTGGAATACCATGTGTACTTCTGGTCTGCATGTACTGAAAGAATATGGCAAAAATAACCCAAAGCACAAATGGGGACAGTGAGAGTGAAATATGGGACTATGTCCTTGGTAGACATGTCTAAATAGGGGTAGTCTCTTAAGGTTTATGAGATGGCTGAAGGGAGATGTGAAAGGGATCGATAAAATCATTTGTGCTTTGGGAAGTGACCAGGGTATGATCTATGAACTGCTTCCCGTGACACAGGAATGGCAAATGGAGCTATCAGGGAGCAAGGCTGAAGAGAGAGAACGGATGAATGTTCCAGCACAGCACATCACTTAACCCTGCAGCTCCTGGCTGTTTGGAAGGGATACAGTTTAGATACAACGAAGAAAAAGAGTGCAATTTAGGCAAAGAGAAGCCCGTCAAGGAGAATGATGCTGTTCTTGGCAGAGGAGGGCCCTGATTTGTAGGCTGGAGGAGAGGGATGACTCCAGGCTTCCCTGGTCTTCTCCTCTTTCCCTGACACAGTGCTGCTGCTGCAAACGCTCCATGGGCACCACCCCTGTGGCACACACCGAGTTCTGCAGGCTACAGTCACTCCCACAGGCTTTGCACATTTGGTGGTGTTGCCTCTGCAGGCTCCCAGGCCCTCCTGGAGAACATCCCTCTGCAGCACAGATGTGAGACAGACCTGCCTGCGCTCAGTTTTCAAGGAACTTCACTGATAATGAAGAAGTATTGGTTTAAAACACTCATCCCTAACACAGCTTAGGATCAGCTGAAGGGACAGGGTGAGCCAGCCCAAACCTCCCTGGACTCCACCAGCCCAGGCTGGCACCACGTGTGAGACACCAACGTGACCTGTCACTTCAGGCCCCATCTGCTTCTGTCACTGATCCTGGGAAAAGGTTGCCCAAGTGTGGACAGAAGGAAGCAGCTTGCAGAGGTGACAGGAAATCCAGCATTTCACTCCCTCACAGCCACACCCTTTTGTCTCATTACAAGGAGCTGGATTTTGTCCTGGCTGCTGGAGCTGTTGCCTGAGGTGACACAATTAACATGGCAATAGGAAGATATCCTCATTAACCAGGGATGGAGCAGGGCCTGATCAGCCCAGGAACAAGGAATTCTCCTGAGCTCAGCTGGACTCTGAAACATATCCAGCTGGTAACAGCTATTGGAAACCAGAGTTTCAAACACTTTTATATCTCTTTCTGAATTGTAAGAGGAATCCAAAGGCCAACAACAAATACTCCCACAAAACCCCATTTTAAATAAGCTCATTAACAGGCGCTTCCTGCCCCTCCATTTCCCAGCTGTGGGAGCTGGGCTCTGTGGCAGCCCCAGTGCCTGCTCTCTGCCTCCTGTCAGCCTGGGACAGCACGTTCCCTGGAAGCACACTGCTTTCCAGGAAGCAGGAGCTTCCCACAGGCCGGAGTGGCTATGACTAAAGCTCAGTGGCAGAAGCAGGGGACATTCTGTCTGTGCCAGCACAGAGTGTGCTGTGCTCCTTGGAAGTGTTGGATAACCAGAGTTACACAAAGCCTCTGTGGCTTTCCTGTGCTCCTGACAATCCTTCTCTTGGTCAGCCAAGGCAATGGAGGCCCCAAACAGCTCTGCATAACCCATTTCCCTGAGGATATCAGCACCAGCTCCCCCTTGGCACCTCACAGCTTCCCTCACAGCCCACTGCTGCCAGAAGAGTGCCTGAGCTGCAGTCCCACCCTCTGCCACCCACCAACCGCTGCCCTCATGCACATCCTGAATATCAGGTGCTTTGGGGCCAAGATGAGCCAGGCAAACCCATGAACGTGGACACTCAGCCTCAAATTTCATGCTCCACAATGAAATCTTTTCCAGGGCTGTCCATACACTTAAAGGAAGGCACAGGATCTGAAGCCAAAATCCAGGCACTGCTCCTGCTGCTCTCTCCAGCACAGCCCCAACCTTGATGACCCCAGAGACAAGGCCACTGTAACAGGCCCAGCAAGAGCAGAAGTGGAACACTTGTCCTGCACATCACAGAAGCACACTGGACAGCCTCAAGGACAGGGACAGCACAGGCATGCCCAAGTCCCTCCCATCATGTCCAGGTGTGTTGGTGATTCCTAGACTGAAATGGTAATGCCTGTCCTGTGGACCTCTGGGGTTACCAGTGGCTCAATCAGGCAGCTCACACGAGGTTTATGGCATCCAAAAATCTGCTCAGCAGCCACAAGGAAGGAGCACTCAGAGCCCAGGTAAGCCCGAAGCAGGGGGAGAAGCTGAATGAGTGTGGGCAGCAGCAGCAGATGGCTGGCACTGTCCCAGAGAGGGGGCTGCAGACGTCTCCAGCATTCCAGGGTGTGTATGGCAGCCACTCTGGGTGTTGTTTTCCTACACAGTCTTTGCTGACCCTGTTTGCTGCAGGCATTCTTTCTTATCTGTGAAACTCTCCAAGAGGAGAATAGCACATGCCTCCGTGTGTGTAAGGAGGAAGGTATTTGCAAGGAAGTATTTGAAACACGTTTCAAAGATATGTTTCAAACATCACTCAGCAGGTGATGGCCAGACACAGCAGCACTTGGGTTCAGAAGCAGATATTGCCCAGCCCTGTTAAGGTTTAAGTCAAGCAGTGAGTCAGGAGGACACTGCTCCTGTCCCAGTCTGCTGCGTGGCCCCAAAAAGAAGCTAGCAAGAGAGAGGAGGTGAGATTCATGCCCCATATCTGGTAGTGATTTCATCAATCCCCCCAAAACAGCATCTCTTTATGGATCCAGTGTCTCCACACTATTAACATATAGTCTCTCCCAGCCCCCTGTGGCTGGGCCCTCCTCATGCCAGCAGCACAAGTGGATGCCATAGCTAGGTTCCAGCCACGTACCTTTTCCTTGTTATCCATGGTGATGGCAATCTGCATCCTCCTGCCCCGCCGGAAAGCCACCAAGTGGTCCGTGTCGTCCTCGCCCAGCTCCGGCACCCGGCCCTGGCCGGGGAAGCTCTCGGCACGTTTCTCGCTGACAATCCGCTTGCCCTGGAGGGGACAGGATGGGTTAGGGACACCTCCAACGGCCTGCCAGGGACAGTGGCCATCCCAGGCTGGTAGAACAGAAAAGGAGCTGGGCAGTCAGTCCCCTTGGCTTACAGAGCTGCCACCCCACTTGAAGGGATCTGGGTGTGTTTAGCTGGGCACAGCACAGGCAGGGTGGGATTTACCTTGCAGCATGGATGCTGCTGGGTGGTTTTATTTTCAGCTGGCATTTGTGTCTGTGAAACAAATGTGAAGTTGTCCCCACCCCACAGACAATAAAATGTGAGGCTACCTCAGAGCAGAAGCCAAGAGGGAGGGGAACAGTGGGGTTCTCTCCAACCTTGCCCACAAAGCAGTTACTCCCCTCAAGTGTATTAACACTCGGTAATTTATCATTTCACAGTCATTGTGTGTTCATATTTCTGGAATGATTTATTCAGCAGTGGAACAGTTTAGGAAACTGATACATAAACTCCTTGAGCAGGGGCAGTTCCCCCTCTCAGATATTATTTCCAGCTGTCCGTACCAACGTCATGACTTCCCCGCATGGATTTCCATATGGTTCCTATTTTGTTAATGATTTTTGTTGCTGGCTGAGCCCCTGCCAGTGCCCTCAGCCATCACTTCCACAACATGAGCACATCATTTGTACTTCTTCTTATTTAAAAGTATCATCTTTCAGGTCCATCATGTGCCTTTTTATTTTTGCCTTACAAGGAAATGAGAGACATACTATGTCATCTCCATCATTATCTCTGATCTTTTTCTTTTCTCTTCATCTGCATGAAGTCTGCTCAACTTTACCAGGGATGAAGGAACCTCAACAGCTTCCCTCTGTAAAGGATGGTGTATTTTCCTGTTTTCCTCCTTGGGATTCCACGCATACTGGAATCTTGATTTCAAAGGAGCTCAAAATCTCCAAGGAAACTTCAGTGAAACTTGGGAACTCTTTGTTGCTACAAACTTGGTTTCAAAAACAAACAGCACACCCTGAACTCTGATTTGCAGGGAAGACTTGCAGTCAAGTTCTCTGCCATGACATATGAGCCAGGAAGGCTCACATTAGCCCTCATCTCCCCTCAGCTCTGCCAGGAGTGCAGATGTTGGCGTGGAGGGAGCCTTGCTGTGCATAGCCTCCGTCAGCACAACCATTTTTATGGTTTCCCAGTCATCAAGCCTCCTAACACATGATAAATGTTTGAGGAGACACTGCAGGATTTCCAGCAGCAGAGCCTCAGCCTCTGGTTTATTCATCTTTCACATCTGCGTGATTTTGCTGGCTCAGCAGAGGATGCAAGGGAAAGGAGGAGTAGTCCCTAAGCTGCCGATGGTCCTGCCTGTCCCAGCTATGTGGACACGGTGGGAACCTTGTTACACATCCCCTGAGGATGCACAGCTCTACTTTTGGGTCCCAGCTGCAGCTCCTAACAAGTTTTGCTGCTCTCAGGACGACCTTTGCCATTTCTGCTTTTCTTGCAGTAAGTGAAGCCACATGTTGGGTTCAAAGCAAGGACGTGTTGCCGATGTGTTCTGTGCCATTTTAGCACCGCCCGTGCTGATCTCTATGTCGGGGTCAAGGCAGGCTCCTGCTCTGACATCTGTAAGCCACCCCTAGAGATGGCAAGGTGTGTTCCTGAGACAGAAAAAGCTGATCATCTCAGGATGGAGCACAACTAGTTTGGCATCTGCCACAGGCAGACAAGAAGGTGTCACGGCGTGACAGGCGGCTGCGATGCTGCAGCACAGGAGGTGACTGCCTGGTCTCCACTCTAAAGTCACAGCTGGAGCTTTCAGGAACCCTCTATTCTGAGACAAACCAGAATTTCCCCCCTCACATCAGGAGGGGGTTTGGCTGTGCTGGAATGAGATTTCATTTGAACGGGATGTTCACGCTCCCGGTACTCTGTCTGGAACAAAGGGAATGAGAGGCCTCTGTCCCTTTCTCCTGAAAAATTATTTGGAAAGGTGCATTTGTTCCCAAATGGTTCAGTTCCTTCAAGGTAACATAAAATGACTTTCTAATGGCACAGTGACTGTGGCCTATTTCTCCCTGGAAAGAAAGGGTAACTAGGTCACTGGGAAACAAATGAACAGGCATTCGAGGCACAAAATCAGGAAAACATTTCCAAGCTGCCTCACAGGGAGAAACAGTTCCTGCCTTTTGCTGACAGCCAAGATTTGCAGCACTCCTGCCCCAATGTCCCAGGCAGCAGGAAGGGTGGGGCTTCTCTTCCTTATCCCCGGGAATGGCTTTGGGTTGGACCTCAGTGCCACAAACCCACACGTCGCTGTGCCTACAAGGGGACCCACGGGAGCACCACTTGCTGCCACCCTTTCCTTCTCCCAGTGCTGCTGTGACAGAGACAAGAATCGTTATATCTGGATGCACAGGCTCCACAAGGAATGGGGTGGTGCCCAGGAGGAAATCTTTCAGGATTTAAAAAATGAAGTAGCGTTTTCAATTACTTTTGCCTTTTCACACAATTTTTAATTAAGTCTGCAAATACTGGGTCACACTTCCTGCCCATCTCATTGGCAGCTGAAAGCGACACTCATGTCACTCTGTTTTTCCTTCTACATTCAGGATGTTCTGGAATGCAGTATCAGGGAGAAATGATGCTACTTTTACCACCAAGCATCACTGCCTCCCTGGGAATGGCTGGACAATAGTGCAGCTAAATCTGTCCGAGCTCATTTCCAACCCCTTTCCACTCACAGCAACACAGTTTAACACCAGAGTGGCCCGGAAGGGCAACGGGGTGACTGATCCCTCGGAAAGGGACCTGGCTACCCGTGGGTGGGTGTGGGGAGCTGCCAGGGGGCTTAGCAAGGACCAGGAGCTGATCCCTGGGAATCAGAAATGGGGAGGGAAGCGTGTGGCAACCAGAAATGAAAACTGAGGCTGTGCTGAAGGCTCATTGAGAAATGAGAGAAAAGGAGCAGGAAGAGAACTATTCCCTTTGGATGTGACATGCTGGGCACAAAGATCAAGTGAGAGGAAGAACAGAAGCCCCTTTGTAAGTCAAGAGGCCACAGTGTAAGTGGAATCCTCTTCCCTGCTCACCTTTGCTTTGTTGTCCATGGTAACAGCCAGCTGCATCCTCTTCCCCATCCTGAATGTGAACATATGATCTGCTTCCTCCTCCTCCTCCTCCTCCTCACTGCCAATGCCGAATCCAGGGCTCGCAGAACAGGGGCTTGCCCATTTCTCACTCACCACCCTTTTGTCCTGGAAAACGAACACTTCCGTTAGCAAATCCAGGCCCTTGGCTCAGGGATGTGACTCCCTTCCCCAAACACACCTGCACACAAGCGGGGAGGTGGCTGTGGAACAGGCAGACCTTGCCCCAGGGAAGCTCTCCGTGCCCGGCAGGGTGCCGTGACATTCCCGGGGAACAAGGGGCTCCTTGTCTGCTCAGCAGCAAAACCCACAATTACAGCGGGGCTGAAAAGTCCTTTGCACTTACAAATCTGACATTTCAGACTAAAATGCCAGAGTTATGGGAAACAAATGTCATCCTCAGCTCTTTGTGCAGCACTCTGAGTTAGCTCGGGAAAGCCTAAGTCCTGCTGGAGGTGGCCTTGGAAGCCAAGAGGATGGCTGAGGGTGGTGCTCACCATCGGGAGGGCTGGGCTATCTTGTCCATAGTGTTCAGTCTGGGTAATTGCATCTTTCAGGTCCTGTATGAGAGAAAAATGTGTGCAGCAGCAGCGCCCCAGGAGAGGCGAGGGCCAGGTCGAGGTGGGAAGGGAGCACTGGTCCGGATCCAAGAACCCAGGAGTGCTGGAAGGAGGCTGGGCAGACTCAGTGGGCTCCATGTGAGCCCTGGCAGAGGAGCTGACCCAGGGGTGAAGGCAGAACTGGCCAGTGGCTTCTCAGGCCCCACACTGCCAGGCCGGGTGGACAGGGCTTGTCAGACACAGATTTGGCTCAGTTAGGACGGGAGCCTGGAACTCGCAGCCTTTGGCCCAGGGCCACCTGCTTTACTCACTCCCAAAGCCTAAGGAGACCATGAGTTTCCCCAGCCTGTGGCATTCCTGATGCCTCCAGAGACACACACACCGCTGATACGCTCTGCCTACGTATTTGCAATGATTCTGAACACCTGGGACCTGTCCAGGGCTGTGTGCCTGTTCACACATCCATCCACCTGCCTGGTAACTTTGCCTGAGTGGGTGCAAGTGCCTGGGCACAGCTGGAAATGTATGTGCAGCACCTAAAATCACTCTGAGCACACACCCCTGCAGAGTTTCCCCACCATTCTCAGGACTTAGGAGCTGTGTCCTGTGCCTCAAAGGGCTTTGCTGTGGAGTGTCTCTCTCTGCAATGTCCCTTTGCTGTGGCAGGACTGGAGTGAGAACTGGTCCGTGGTGAAGGAGAGGCAGCACTTACGTTGTGAGCTTTGGTGATGGTAATAGTGAGTCCATCCTGCTTGGGCCTCCTGGAGGTAACAGCCATTCCCTCCTGCTCTGCTCGCTTTTTGTCCTCTTCTATTTCCTGAAACACAGATCTCATCTTACCACCGGCCTGTCCCTGAATGGCTACGGATGTTGTCTGTTTTCCTGTTTAGGAGTTCTGCTACACAGATTCACCTTCCCCTCTAAGAGGGAGTGGCCCAACTTGTGTCCCAACTGTGGGACACAGACAGAGGAAGGTGGCAGGGGGAGAGGAGATGCTGCAGGACTGAGGCATCAGTGTCTGTTCTCCAAAGCAACTCAGCACTGCAGCCAAAGGCAGAGCTGTGCCCACCTGCTCTGAGAGCTTTGCAATATAAACATGGTATCTGTATAACAAAGTCACACTGATGGTGCTGACAATCTTCTTTACACTGCGAGCTGAGGACCCTGAGTTAGAGCTGGGCAAGGGAGGGACCTGCAGACTCACCTGGTACCTTCGGATCAGCGCTTCATTCTTCTTCCGCAAGGCCAAGATTTTCTTATCGAGTTCAACATCTTTCTGCTCTTTCTTCCTTAACACAACATCATCCACAGCAGCATCCTGGAAATAGGAGCAGAGCTCTCCTCAGTCATCACAGCAACAGGATGAAACCTGCTCCTTCTGTCTGGACAGGATGGAAACTTCTCCCTTCTCCCACCACTTCTCCCTGACTTTTTCCTGACAGAACTGATCTTTTTTGTTTAGCAGTGAGGCAGTTTGGGTAAAAAGCTGCTGTCCCACTCTGATGGTTGTCAGTAGGCTGCAGAGTTAACACCCTGCTTAGCTGCATGCAGTAAATGATCCTCCTCTTTGGGTGTTCTCAGGCACAGGTTCAGATGTCCTCCCTAGACATTCAGAGCCCCTTGGTTACCGCAGGGGATCACAATCAGGAGTTTTTACAATTCTAGTGACAACAGTGTCTAATGAAAATTAATCCTGCTGAGGATCTCTGCAGGACATCTCTGTCCAGGTGGGACAACAGGGACATTTAAACCACCTCCAGACATTCTCCTGCTGGACAATGGAGTTTTGTCAAGATCTGTGGGAGAAAGACTGGCTTTTCCATTGCCCTTCATCATCGGGTGAGCAGATTACCTGTGTGGGTGGATACACTTCCATGGGCATTTTGCAAGGCTGATTAGAGCTGAATTCAGTGTTTACCTGGACAGAAGCTGTTCTGGGAGCACTAAATTGGCAGGTTTGCTGTTTGCTGAGTGCTGGGGTGTTGGCTGCTGAGGGTGGGATCAAAGTGGTGCCTGCCCTCTAACACACCCCTTTCATCTTCAAATTCCTTTGAAGGAGGACTGGCAGAGCTACCAGCTTGGGAAGAATTTAAAAATTCCTGCACAGACTGTATGTGTGCTCTTCTCTTTCCAAAGTAAAAGATGGAAAACACCTGTCAGGCTGTTCTCCCTTGGCCCATTTGTCAGCATTTTGTCTATGCTGCAACAGGGCTGGTCTCAGGGGGAGGGGGGATCTTTTCACTTCCAGCTGGAAACAAGTCACTGGAAGGAAAGTTTTGCTGGTGTTCAGCACTTCTGCTGGCCTTTATTAAGGAGACCATGAAGGTGTTTCTCTCTGCACAACCTGCTCAGCAAATGCTGGTGCCATGGCCAGGCGGTGGCCCCGTGGCTGAAGCACCGAGCTACAGGGGCTCTCCCATTGTACTCTTCAGCCCAGTCAGCATTTGCTCGTCTGCGGCCGCCCCAGGCCGGCTGCGAGCAGGGGCTGTGCCCTCTGCTCCGCTTCTGGAACAAACCCGCCGGCCCAGCCCGTGCTCCGGCTGATGCTCAGGATGGAAAGTGGCCCCACTGTGCCCTCCCCGGTGTAAAGCTCTTCCGGGGAGCCAAGGTGCCCGTATGTCACCGCGGCTGAGTTATAAATGGCTTTGGCAGCACAAACGTGCGATGGCTTTGAATCAGCAAGCGGCTGAACCCGAAGCCTCCCCAACAGCAGGGCAGAGCCGCAGAACCAGAGGCCTCATTCTACTGCAAATAAAAATGTCACAAAAGGAGCAAATGGAAAGCTCTCGGCTTCATGCTTCAATGGAATGACGACACCCCGTTGTGTCCCAGCCCCTCTCCCCAGTGGCACACACTGGCTACGCAGCTCCTCAGGGGCTGGAGGGACTCCCCACTCCACAATGGCTGTGTGTGCAGTGCTTTCCCCCACACTTCCACGATCGCCTGCCTCTGCAGTGAGACCTTGGACGCAGCAGGGTTGGGAGAGCAAGTAAGGCAGGGGGCGGGGGGGAGGGAAAGGAGAGAGGAGCAGGGCCCTTACTAACGCTCTCCTGCGTAAGCAAATGCATCCGCTCTTTTTAAGAAATATCCTCTTCCTTGACAGCTGCCGCTGAAACCCTCACTGGGATAGACACCATCCAGCACTGCCTGCATTTCTGTTTGCCTCCCAGGCAGCGCACTGTCCTGAGCCAGCCACCGCACCCTGCCCTGGCGAGGGACGAAAAGCCCAGCACTCAAAATGCGCCCCCAGCACCCTCCCCGTGGTGCAGCACGGCTGTTTGCTCCCCTGCCTGCTGGCAGCCAGGCGAGGCAAGGCAACAAGAAAGCGACAGTCACCGCAAGGCCACCCTGCAGGGTGTGCGAGTCCTTGCGTGGCCCCTCGGGTGAGGGACCCCGGCCCCGCGCCCCTCCCAGGCCCCGCGCAGGCGGCACTCACAGCTCGGTGCATGTTGGACATCGGCGCAGCCCGGCGGATTCCAGAGCAGAGCTAAAAGAGGAGAGCCATCAGACGGCCTTTCTCAGCACTGGTTGCACAGCATACAAGATCATGTTTTGATTACAAAAGCCTCGTCTGGGCTCACAGCCAAGAGCACTGGCTGCCTAATATACCAAGCACAGACAGGGTTTGGAGTGCCTGTGTCCTCCTCTCCAATCTCACTCTCTTTTTAAAAGAAACACTCCCCCTTTTCCCCCCTCCTGACTCCTTTAAACTTCCTGATGCCACAAGCCCTCGTTCAAAGTGGGAAAAGCCTGACGAACAATGTGGGATGGTTCAGGCAAACAGCTTGGCTTGGCTGTGTGGCCATTCACGGGGTCGTTGTTTGTTATGCATGGCTGGCTGCACGCCTGGCGGGTGGCAAATATCTGGGGTCCTGCACGCCTTGTGAGCGCCAGTGTGTGTACGGGCCTTCCCGGGAAAGCAGGGCTCAAGCTTGCCTTTTTCTGTTTAATTTCAGTATTCTCCAGGAATGATCTCTCTGCTGTTAAACTGGGCCTGTCCTTCAGGAGGGAGCAGAGGAATGCCGTGGGGTGGGCATCACCAGCTGGCACCATGCAGGAAGCACACAGCCAAAGGATAGGGACCCTCCTAAGCCCCTGTGTGAAAGCTGCCAAAACCACCCCCAGAAGAGTCCCAGTAGCAGGGGGGCTTTGGGGGAATAGCACTGAGCTGATGCCACTTGGGTCGCCACGTGAATCTTTATCTCACCATAGAATGTCCCGAGCTGGAAGGGACTCAAAAGGATCACTCAAGTCCCACTCCTGGCCCTGCTCAGCCCCAACAATCCCACCCTGTCCCTGAGAGCGTTGTCCAAACGCTACTGGAGCTCTGGCAGCCTTGGGGCCATGCTCACTGCCCTGGGGAGCCTGTTCAGAGCCAACCACCCTCTGGGGGAAGGACCTTTTCCTGAGATCCAGCCTGACTCTGCCCTGGCACAGCTCCAGCCATTCCTATGGATCCTGACACTGGTCACCAGAGCAGAGTTTGGGGCTGCCCCTCCACTGACCCTCGGGAGGAGTTGCAGACAGACATGAGCTCTGCCCTCAGTCTCCTCCAGGTTGAACAAACAAAGTGACCTTAGCCATGTGTCCTGACTGTGTGCTGCATCCTCCCTCAGCACACACTGGATGCCCCTTCCCTCAATCCTGAGGAACCCAGACTGAGAGAGAGGCCCACAGGAGATGAAAGCACACCAGGGGACGTCTGATGCACACCCCAACCTTAATGTGGGCCCTGCTATGTTCACACGTTAAACAACCTGAGGAGGCCCACTGCAGGTACTTGTCCCCTTTAACACCTTTGAGCAGGTCGTCTGCTCACAAAATCCAAGAAGTTTGGCCTGAAACCCAGAGTGGGTCAAGGGAAACCTGCAAAAGACTTTGCACAACCTGGAATCTGGTCCCTCCTCTGTGCATGACTCAGGCTGCTGGAGATCACGGCTAAGGCACTAAGGAGCTGGAAGCACAGCTTAGTACAAGCGCTTGGAGGGACAGACTGACCCATATTAATTAGTAGCTACTTAAATGATGAAAGAAAATTGAAACCATTTCCAAGGCAGTGCCTCTGGATTCAGGCTTGATGAAGGAAATGAAGAGTGCTGTGTGGAAAACTAGGAAAAAGACACAAGAGCTTTGCTTGTGTCTTTGGAGGTGCAGAGTCATGAGGAGCTTTTCCTTGCCCTGGGAACACAGGGCTGCCTTGGGTTTGACTTTGGCATAGTCCCTTGTGAGGGTGATGTCCCATTTTCTCTGGGCTGGTGGCTGCAGGGACGAGGTCAGTCCTGGGAGATGCTGCTGGGCTGAGTCAGGGAGTCAGTGTTCATGGGAACACTTTGCCCAGCGCCGGTGTGTTATCCTGTCACTGTGGTGGCCACACTCCTGGCCTCAAGCAGTTTGCACACGCTGCCAACAGCTGGTCCAGGTTAAAGCAGAGACCATTATCCCAAACTCCAAGGCCAGGTAGTGTGCACGGAGCAGGGTGAACCCACGTGCTGCAGGGTCTGCTGTGCTGCCCACGGACCCCAGCGGCTGAGGGCCTGTGTCATGCCCAAGTTGTGAAGGCTTAAGCCAAGTGCTCACAAGGGGCTTCTCCAGACCTCATAGCCATGGCATCCTATGCCCCTGCCATGATCAGCAGGGTGGCCAAGCTCTTCCAGCAGGAGCAGTCCATGAGCAGGTAGGAAGATCCCTAAAATACCTCTGCCTTTGCTGATGTCCCTGGAGAGCTGCAGTTCCCTCCAGGGCAGCGCTGGCTGCTCCTTCCCTCAACACAAAGAGCTGACATGTCTCAGCTGTCCTTTACCATGTCTGAGTGGCACAAATGACAAGCATCTACTTCTGCATCATCATCTGAGATCAGTGAGAACATGAACCCTCAGTGAACACGGCGGACACAGAAACCCAGGGGCAAAAGGGCCCAGCCAAGGGAGCAGCATCTGCAGCTGCAGCAGAGGGGCAAACCAGGCTGGTTTGGGGACATTTGTGCCCTTGGGACTGTCACAGGAGACAGCAGAGAAAGCAAAACCCTGCTGAGATTTGTGGGGTTATGTATATGCACATACATTTGGTTATTCCTGGTGCCATGGCCAGGAAGGGCTGCAGTAACACCATGGCTGTTTCCAACCTGGGGGCTTGTCCAAAACTATCAAAGCCCATGCTTTGAAGTGCAGTGAAGTGCACTGCTCTGTAGTGCAGTGTCAGCCCCAAGACTGTGCCTATCTTGGGACACACTGAATCCTGTTCACATGGTCAGCCCCACCTTGGTGGCTGCAGCACACCAGTCCTGCTCTCTCAGGCCATTGGTGGCACCATTTCCCACCTGCAGAAGTTTGACAGGGTACCTCAGACAGCGAGTGTGTCCTGCAACCTCATGCAACAGTGAGGATATCTGGAGAAACCAGCCTCAGTACTCATTCAGTAACTTGTTCACCACCCCTGCAGTTGATGCCTTTATTCTTTAAAACCCCAGAAGACCTTTCCTAGGCAGGATGGCCTGACTCTGGGCTGCTGGTGCCATCTCTGAAGCCATGGGGCACATCCAGGGTGGCTCTGCACTTTCTGCTTCAGGGAAAGGGGTTGCGCCAGCTCTTGCTGACCACGGGCAGCCGCTGAAGGAGCAGTCCCTGGGGTGGACAGCAGCTGATCCTCAGGAAAGCCCGGAAGCTGAAGGAATCAAGAGGATATAAGGGGGTTTGCTGCATTGCCCTGCTGTGGCTGTGCTGCACAGGGACCTGGCTCACTGTCCCTAAGTGCAGCTGCCTACTTGGAGGGCAAAGCTTGCCCACTCAGGGCAAAGTTTGCTGGAGATTTTTCTGGGGCAAAGGAAGGAAGTCAGAGCAATGACCTCTCCATTTTGTGCTCATGACAGTGAAATAGTCCCTTTCTCTAACTGTGCTGCACAGCCTCTCCCTTTCAGTTTGAGCACAAAGAACCATCCCCACAGGAGTCTGCCCTCTCCCCACTCCAGGACAGTGCTCAGCACTGGCAGAAAATTTTACCCCACATTTTAACAGCAAGACTTGTTTCTTCTCTGTCTCTATGCCTTACACAAAGGCTAAAGATAAGAAACTGATTCTTCAAAAAAACCAAACCTGCCTGCCTTGAGAAGTGTTCCTGGCAAACCCTCCCTACTTTTCCTTTTGCACTGCGTGAAACTCCTTCAGAGCCACTCAGTCCCACGTTGCCACTTTCTCCAAGTGCACTTCACCCAGCTTCATCCTGGCTCCTCTCCATTTTTTGCAGGACCACTGTCGAGTCAACAGATGGCACTCGGGAACTGCCGGGAGGAGCCAGGAGCAGCTGCCAGGAGCCCGCTGGAGGAGCAGAAGTCTGGTTGGTTTTATCTCGTGTGTCGGGACTGCAGAAGAGCCACAGGGCCGTGTCAGAGCCGCTCCTGCACACGGCTGTGAGCAGCAATGGACTCACGGACCTGCCCGAGACCCCCGAGCTGAACTGGCAATCCCTCCAGGCCTGGGGTAGAGGGAGGGATGGCGACACGCTGGATATCAAAGGAGAGTTCCCAGCAGCCCAGAGGCATCTTTCCTATGGAACACAGAGCAAACTTCCCCACAATTAACCCACTGCTCCCTGCCTCCCAGCTCTGGTCCTCCTCCTGCAGATGCACTGCAGGACAAAACTGCTGGAGGTGTTTCCTCCAGCCAGGAGAAAGGTCAGTATGTTCCCTAAACTGGGAGGAGGGCCCAGCCAGGGATGGTAAATGGGCTTTAGCTGGAGAGACTCATGGGGATCAGAGGACTGCTGAGACATTCATTTTTAAATGGATCAATACACAATTAAAATGAAAACTACCAAAGAAAGTTAAAGGATATAATGGCAGTTTGATCCTGCTTTAAAGCACTGGGGATCATAGCTGCCTGTTGGTACTTCCCAGAGGGATACCAAGCATGGCACAGCACAGGAACAGCTCAGGATGGGCAGAGCAGCTCTCTTCCCATAAGGCACAAGTCTGTCCCCTCTTTTCTCCCTCCCTGTGCATCATCTCAGCCTGCAGGTTCTAGCCTCAAGCGCTATGGGTGAGAGCTGTGCTGCCCATGTTTAATGCCACCTTGAATAACTCATAATCCCATCAGTTATCGTGGAATTTTCTGCTCCCAAAAACTTGTCATTCCAGTATAAGGTCTCTGAAGTGGTCATAGGCTGAGCAAATGAAAAAGGATCAGTCATCTTAGTTCTTCCAACTTCCAGACATGCCCAGCAGGGCAGTACAGGTTTGTTGACCCTGTTTGCTACCCAGCCCTCAGATGTAGGGCACAGGACCCAGCTTTGGGAGGGTGCTGGGCTGTGGAAAGTGGCCGGGACAGCCAGTCCGGCAGGTTTTCTTCATCTTTTATGTAGTCCTTGGGGAAAGGATGGAGAGTTGCAGACAGTAACTTGTCCACCCTGTCATCCATCAGCAGTGGCCCAGGGAGGTTCCCCACTCCAGCCCATGGTTCCAGCCCAGATGTAGGAGGACATGGACAGCCCAGTGGCCTGTCGCTTGCAGCTCCCGAGCTGCAAATGAGCATGCCAGAAGCCAGCTTGCTCGTGACATGGTCACATGCCCTTTGTGAACTTCCAAAAGCCATGTCTGCTTTGGGGCTACACAGGCGGTAGTGACCCACTTTGAGTCTCATGCAAGAAGCGGCAAATTGGGTGCCTCTCCTCC